AAGATATCATTTGTTGTGTCAAGGGTGTTCTTTCATCGGACATTGTAGGGTGAATTGGTGAAGTTGCAGAGGGTGTGAGATGCTACTAAACTAGAGTGATAAGGGAGTATAGGTCTAGTGGAGAGAGTGATTGGTTAATGTGGTGAGAGGTGTGTTTTAGGTGTACTCATATGAACTCAATGATGTATTATTATTGTAATGGCTTGTATTACTGAATAAGCAAGATTTTGAAAGGGAAAGGAGGACTCAATAAAATTAACATGATGTGATACGAAGACCTTTTAAGTTTGAGGCTTATAGCACCGAAAAAACATTATATTCAGGAGACTTGAGATGCAAGGCTTATGTTCAAGAGACCAATGAAGATGCAAGGCTTGGATTTTGGTTTTAACTTACATGAAGCGTAGGGGCATAGCCAGGGAAAATATAAACAACCAAATACTTTGAGTTTTTGAATGTTTGAGATTTTATAAAATTATTTTTCAAACAGTGACTGGTGTTGTAAGATTAGGATGAGCATGTGGTCAATGAGGTAGACTGTAGTTTGAAATGTTACCGAACAAAAGGTTAGTGACATAGAGGCTTGATGTAAAAGGGTGAGACCAGTTTCAACTATATGTCGATGCTTTCGTTCGATAGAGCCAACTAGTTGATGTGTATGTGGTGTTGACTTGAGATGTTATATGTCATATGATGAGAGATAAGTTGTTAGAGTTTGATATTCACCTTCTCTATCAGAGTAAACTGTCTTAATGGTAGACTAAAAAAAGTTCTCAACCACCATTCTAAAATGGGAAAAGATCCTAGTGACTTCAAATTTATGTTTAAGAGGATATAGCCATGTATATTTTGTGAAGTATACAAAAAGTATATAAAATTTAAAATTATCAAAGAAAGTGGTTAGGGTAGGGCCCATACATCAATGTAAATAATTTCAAATGATTTAAAGTAGGATATGAAAAATGTTCCAAGAGGTACTATGTGACTTTTATTACTAAAACAAGTATCACAATAGATTCCAATTCTACTTGATTTGAAAGTTAAAAGGGAGCAATGAGATATTAGCTATTATTAAATAGAGAATGATAGATGACTAACGCGACGATGTCGCACATCGATTGAAGCAGTAAACGAAGTAAGAGCAATTGGTTGGGTGATTTATGACACTAATGGCCATCATAGATGTCTTTATTTTGATCTTAGACTAAGGATAGCCCTATGCTCAGATACTTTACAAGAAACGAGTCAAGAAAGAATTCAATAAAGAAATTATTTTATTTACAAAATTAAGAGACAAAGATAAAATTCCTTCATATGTGAGGTGCACACAAAACATCATCAAGTGTGAAAGTGTTTGTGTGTGAATTAAGTGTTGTGGAACTAATGTGAGTAATAAAGATTCGATTATCCGACACTAATGATGATGTCTTCATTGTCTCCATAATTGTGGAAATCAGAAGAAGTGATATGGTTAAAAGTATTGAAGTCAACAATCCAGTTGTTTGGATGAGTAGTTGGAATAGTCATGATATTTTCTTGATGCTAATTGAGTGTGATAGTAGGCTTGGGCCGAGATCGATAATTATTGTTGGGATGCCAAAACCGTTGGTTGTTGTAGTTAGAGTTGTTTGGATTGTAGTTGCCACCATGGTTGGGGGGTTGATAGTGTAATGAAGGATGATGGCTTTGTGTGTTGCCCATGTGACCAAGAGACATCTTATTCGGTCCTTTATAAAGACTCGTGTTGCTTTGATTGTCATTTCTTTTAGATTTTTGATTGAATTGAACTGTGATTATCGGTCTTGTCATTCTCTCTTCTCATTTTAGATATGTTTTATGATCAATCAACTTGTCATACAGTTCTTTAATAATATTGGTGAGTCTCATGCCCGAATTACTATCATCAGTTCCTTATATTATTCTCCTAAGCCATTGAGAGTATGAACAATAACTTTTTCACCACTGGATAACTTATTAAAGCCAAGTAATCTATAATTTTTTTTATATTTTGCATATAATCAATAATAGTACTTTCATCTTATGTTGCTTTCATCAAAATAAATAAAAGACTTGACATGGAAGTACAATAGTGATTGACGAAGGTTGTTTGAAACTTTGACCATGCTTTCGTTATAATGTTGTACGAAGAGATTAGTAGTCCTATGGAGCCAGTTACTGAGGCTTGAATTACTTATAGAATAAGACGATCTTATCGTAGCCATAACTTGTGATTATGATTTATTATTGAGTTGGGTTTTCTTAGTATTTGGATCTTTTCTGGTGGACAACTGATATAGTCATTGATGTAGCCAAATATATCATATTCAAAGAGGAGATTGGATAATTATGCTCATGAGGATACATAGTTGTCGCCTTTGAATAATTTGAAGGGGATTGGAGTTTCTGTACTGATGAATATAAGTCCAGCTGAACTATTGTTTCCTAAGAAAATAATAATTGGGGCATTAGATGTAGCTGAAGAAGACATGTTGAGAATATGATATGATCCATTGAGAGAAGTCTAGAACCAATTGATGATCTGGCAAATGATAGACGAAAAAGATCCGATATGATAGATGATAGATCGAAAGGTGTGGAAAGAATTGCAACAGTGGCACCGACCGTTGTTTGTTCTTTGTTTCTTCGATTGCATTAGATGGGGAGGGCTCTGGGAGTAGCGATCGGGGAGGACTTTAGCTCTTGCTTTGGGAAAAGGGGATAATAGAGGAAAAGGCAACTCCGAGAGCTCTTACTCTAACAGCTCCTGCTTCGAGCAACATTCAATCTAAAGAAAGGCAACATTTAGAAAAGGGGAGTGACTCTTGCTTTGACTCTGGGAGTGAGTCATCGGGAAGGTCCAAGAGTAGGCTCCAAGAACGTCGAAGGAGGTGTTCGAGGAGCAATGATCGACGGTGAGTTTGTGGCCGACGAAAAATGTTGGGAGAGGGGTTGCTGTGGTTCTTGCTTCGACTTCGGAATAACAGACGTGGGAGGGGGGGTGTCTGATTTGAGGAAAGGCAGCACCGAGAAAAGAAAAATGACTCTGACAACTGCTGTGGAACAGAACAGAGTAGGTGTATGTGGTTGGCAGATGGAGAATTAACAATCGGGGAGCAAAACAACCAAAGGACAAGCAACAATGATGTCCACAACCGAACAAAAGGCATTGAGGTAGATGAGGGAGTGGGCATCCTTGAGGAACTCAGATACTGGATCATCGAGGAAAAGGTTTGCTGTTGTAGGGATAGTAATGATAGCGCAGATGAAGGGAAGGATATCGCTATCGTTAGATAGATCAACGAGCTTCGATGGGGAAGGGATAAGGGAAGTCTTTTTTTGTTTGAGTCAAAATGACTTTGATATCATGTAGAATAAAAGAACTTATTATTATGAAGATGAGCGATTTTATTGTGATGCATATTTACACAAGTTTTAAGGAAGGGATTTTCCTCAATCATGCACTTAAATTATTCAATCAAATCAATCCTTAAATTATTGATTGATTAGAATGTTAAGATATCATTCCATATATGCTTCTATCATGACCTCTCCTCTCACCCTCCCTCACACCTCACCTCACGATTGTATCTCATCTCCCATGCCTCATTTCGTCTTGTCCTCACTTAGGTCTTGTCTTAGGTATCATTGGTCATGCCTTATCTCATCTCCCATGCTCCTGGTTGCACATTGTCTCTTACCACCCTCTATCATGCATAATCTCATCTCGCTCTTGACTCCATCAGCTACACCTCGCCATCGACATCCTTGCTTGTAACCTCATCTCCCTCCATCATGCTTAATCTCCTCCCTCCTCCTACCCTCTACGTCTTGCCTTTCGGCCATCCTTAGTTATGCTTTGTCTCCTCCCATCCTTAGTCATGTCTCATCTCCGCTCACCCTTGGCTACACCTTGTCTCTAGCCACCATCATGCCTCATCACATCCTGCTCTTGCCTCCCTTAGCTACGCCTCGCCATTGATACCCTTGATCATGGCTCATCCCCTTTGACATTTAGTCATATCTCATTTCCCACCTCCTCTCATCCTTGATTGCACCTCGTCTCCTCTTGCCCTCCATGATGCCGCATCTCACCCTTGGTCGCATCTTGCCTCCTCCCACCTTCAATCACCCTTAATCAAGCCTCATTTCCTCGCACGGTGTCGTCTCCCACCTTTAGTTGTAGGTTATTTCTCTTTCTTGCTATAAACTCATGTTTACACGGATAAATATTTTTATTATTTTATGATTATCAATCATATTTTAGAATCAAAGTTATGTTCAATCATGAAAAATATAGATCAAAGTCCACAAATTAAAAAAAATAATGATTTGCTTGCTACCATCTCTCTCTCTCTCTTGGTTTATAGATTGACTTCCAATGGGATTATCTGAAATATCTCCCAACCACAAAGAATCAAATATGATGAATACGTCCATTTCTAGTAATAGATATTTTATGTCGAATTTGATATATTTTCAAATTGAATCTACAGACAAATCTTAGAATTCAAGACTTGGAAGATTTTATCTGACTAAACAACATGCTCACACCTAGTGGATTTTAAAAAGATCTCGTATTTTCCAAACAACTGTCGCTGAAAGATGAACTTTTGACTTATGAGGCGACAAAGGGAGAAAAAAAAGGGAAACCCATTCTATTACTTTGGGAATCAAAGGAATAATGGAAGAAAAAAAGGGAAGATAAAAACTCCATCAGGGTTTGAAAGGAAAAGGGAAGGAAAAAAAACTCCTCCAGGGAATGAAAGGAGTAATGGAAGAAAAATAAAAGTTCCATTTATTATGGAAAACTTGTTCCACTGTAGAGAATACGAATGGGAGGAAGAAAGCCAGAAACCATTCGGTTTGAGGGAAGAAAAGAAGAAGAGGAAGAAGACTAGACCAGTCCGGGCATGTCTCATCTGATTCATAATCTGACTAGACCTCACTAAACTTTGATTCATAATCTGATGGTGAATTGGTTCATTTCAGAAAATTGAAGCTGCTGCCACAAAGAATTAATCAGAAATTTGCAATAACAGTAAGAACAATGCAATAGCATTTGAAACTGAAAATATTTTGTGAAAAGCAATCTGATTCTAGATGATAATGTTTTGTGATTACCAGCATGTTGCCATTGTATCGCTGAGTGTTTTCATGTCCGGAAGGTAGCTTCCTGATGATTATATCTAAGACTTGTCTTTCAAGCTCAAAAAACCTTCAGCTGAGCAACTTCAGATTAGAGATAAGAGAGGGAGAGCCATGCCTTTGCATAACTATTTTTCAGCTACTGTTCAACAACTGTCACCAGTTCGTATTCGATCAAAGACAAATTGCTGTCCTCTTTCACGGTGAAATCAGCCGGATCTGTGACTTCTATACGTCCCCATTTGTCCACAGCAAGCCTCATTGATCCTTTAAACATGTCAATCTTTGCATTCCTGAGTATTATGGTTGAATCTGGCTTCATCACATCCACTGTGATTATGAAATTTCAAGCATCAGACCAGTATATATATATATAATACAAGAAAAGTATCAAAAATATGAAGCTTGCCAACAATTTTATCAAATCATTGACTTCATAAAAAAAAAAAAAACCCCATGATCGGTTGTGATTGTAGATTAGTATCTCAGATTGTACCGGAGAAAAAAGAGAAATTACCATTGCACAGATAACTACATGCATTCACTGTTCTAAAAGATGGATCCACAGGTAACACTGGCCTTGGGAGGACAACTAATTGCCCACCTTAGGAGCCTACTAAGACACCCACTTTAATATTAGTATCTTATTTAAAAATTTATGAGAAATTTGATGTATAAATTAGTTAAACAGGATGAAATGCAAGCATATTCTACTATGAAGAAGGTACAGAGTGCAAGTATAAACTTGCTGGAACTTCAAATATGATTATTCATAAATTTCAGGAATTTCAGATATGATTTTATTATAAACGAATATGAAATATGATTTTGTTATAAACTTCAAGAATGAGACCATTAACAAGAAACTAATGCACATAATGCATTTTCACCAAATTGTCAGCATCTCATTAGAGATACAAAATATCGGGTTAGAAACATCTAATTCAATGTTTAAAGAAGGTTGCTGGAATTCATGTAGCAATGAACTGCTTTGGCAAGTACTGTGATATCTAGAAAACTTGGAACAAAAAAGTTACATAAGCAAATAGCATCCCTCCAAAGTTGCAAATGTAACAGATGCCATTGTAGTCGTAAATGTAACATTTTCTATACATGCCCACAGCCTCACTGTGTTTTGGCATGTGGTTGCATAATTATAGCAAGACTAAGGTTTCATTCAAATGAAAATGTAAACTGACCAATCTACTACTCATTTTTTACTCTTTTCTTGAGTTGTTTTTGTCTCTTCATACTATGTCTTTGCTGTGAATGATGGCAATGTGTTTATTCACCTGGAAGGACCATAAACTATGCTACTCCAATGACAAAGTTCAATCTTGATATGTGTAGAATTTCCAACCTTATATGTCTGCCACAATAACTTACAAGAATATTTCCCATCTTTTTACATTTCCACCAGAACCAAATTACATTTTCTTTAGCTAAAAAGAAACAACTCATCAACAGACCAAGTATTTTGCATGTGTATCTCCCATCTTGGAACATTTCCCCCACAACCAAATTATATATTCTTTACATGTTGTTCATATTAGAGCAGAACCAAGAATTTCCAAGGTTATGTCTGCCATAATAACTTACTAGAATATTTCCCATCTTTTTACATTTCCACCAGAACCAAATTACATGTTTTTTAGCTAAAAAGAAACAACTCATCAACAGACCAAGTATTTTGCATGTGTATCTCCCATATTGGTACATTTCCTCCACAATCAAATTATATATTCTTTACATGCTGTGCATATTAGAGCAATGGATAAGTAATTTAAGTATTCATAATGACTAGATTAAGTAATCATCTTTATGTCGATTTCATAAAATTCAGATGGTAGAATTTCTTCTTAGGATCACAACACCAAGAAGATGCACAATTATATGTTCTCCACATTTCTGTATATTAGAACAGTCATGAGTCAATAAGTTATTGACCATAAGTCATCACCTTTTTGCCAATGTCACATGATTCAGGAAGTAGAAGTTCTACTTAGGATTGATGTGCCAAGAAGATGCACAAGGTAACTTATCCAGTAATTGAGTCATCATATAGGGTGCAATATTCTGTTCTAGGTAAAAAAAAGGGTCCTAATCATTGATCAAAAGTAGTCACTTTCGACTGTCAAAGAAACCCTCCAACCTATAGTGGATCTTTATTAATGCCAATGAAAAAATAATTGAGATTTGAGAAAATGATCATATAAAAGTAGGATGAGAAAAAAAAAGGTGCTATAGCACACAAAAAGACATGCATTATTTTTGACACAAGGCTAAAAGATGAAAGAAAAGAAAAGATACAGCACAATGAAGCTAAGGCCATTAGCAGCAGCAGAAAATTTAGGAGCATTGGAGAGTACGGGCAGAACACAAACCCTATGATGTAACCAAAGGAGAACCTTTAGGTAAGAAATCTCCTTTATATTCGTTCTAAAGTTGCTAAAAACCACAACCATTTTGAAAGTATCTTATAATGACCTTTCAGGTCATACATTCAGTTCATGTTACTCAAAACATGTGGAAGAGGTAATTCCCATTATTTATCTAGCTATCAGCCGAGGAGGTTTTCTCTCCATTAATTTTTCCCTTAATTATCTCTCTGAAGCAACTCCGATATCATTCATATTCTATAATAATAAAACTGGAAAAATACAAATAACCAAGTTAAATGAAACAAGGGAGTAACCAACATTGTATCAATTATCTCAAAAATCTTTCACTTATTGCTTAATAGTATTTTTTCCTTTTTGATTTCTCAGCTATAAAGTGAACTAATTGCACATTTCTAAAGGCATTAATTTCACTATATAAATACATATAAATTACTGCTACATATACCAATATTTATCATGAATGATAAGACAATGTACACTAACTTTTCAAAACAGAATGGAAGCTTATCCATATGTGCATAATAGCCATGTGTAATTACTGAAGACCATCCACCAAGCCAAATCTTAAAACTTAGTCCTTTTTATCTAACGAAAAAGAAGAAGAGAGACCCTACCTTGATCATTCCTGGCTGTGAAGACGATCATTCCAGTTTCATCCCCCACCAAACATTCCGCTAGGCGCATCTGACGAACTTGTGGGCCAGCAGTTCGCCCCTTCTGCAGCACCATCTTTGAGCTCACCACCTTCACTGTGAGCGTATGACCGGTGGTACCAGGCCTGAGCTGATCAACCTTAGTAAACTCTGGCTTCCTCATGGTGGGTTTTGATTCAGCCATTTCCTGCAGATTACCTAACCATTACTTGACCCCATCTTAAATTTGACTCCATAACAACCAGGAAATAACACATCCATATGAATAATCAATAAAACAATATCTACAGAGCGTAATTCATTCTTCATATAAATGATGATTAATCAATACATCTGTGTACAAAGCGATCTTATACGAGTAGGCACATATCAAACATATGGGGTCATCAGAAATACAATTCCGTCAAACAAATCAGAAATCCAACACATAAGAGTCGTCGTGAACTACCGCTAAAAAGGAAAATCTATCCAGTGATTTTTGGTATCCACATAGAGGTTACAGAATCAAATTAGAAACATAACGATGTATCAAGCCGAAGCAATACCGGACGAGAGATGGAACTGACAACAACACAGGGAGCAAATCCGAGAATTAGGGTTTCCAAAGGCCTAAAAGCTCCAAGTTTGGGGTGGATTCCTCCCCCGATAACAGACTGCAGAGATTTAACCACCGGCGAGACACGTTTAAACAGCCGTCGAAAAGTAGCACATCGTGGCCGTACATTTAGCCAAACAAGATGCCGGATCAACGATCGTAAAGCGGTGGGTCGTCGCGTGTCGGGTTGGGTTGGATGGAAACAAGTCGTGGGCGGGTGAGCCCAATCGTTGTTATTATATGATCATTGTCGGGTCGAATTCTACTAATATTTGAATCCGATTCCAGAAAGCTTAGTAGACGCCCCCAAATGGACTCATCGGTCATGTCCTGTTTCGGGTTTCTAGTCGTTTCGGACTTGAACCCAATATCCCTGTCTGATCTAGCAATTTGTTTGGATCCAATATGGAGCCATACCCGATACCAACCCGACATCCCTGTCAATAATGGCAAGGGTTACTACTGGCTTCCTACACATGTGAGATGCTTCTTATGGACCCGTTTATTTTGCATGGACACGGCCGAACCACATTTATATGAACCTAACATTAACGCGTCCTAATCGAATCATGATAAAGATTTGGTCCGAGTCAGATTAGCATTTCCGGGTTAGCGTACTGATTGCCGTTCTCAACAGGGAACCCAATCAGGTCGATTTGCCTGCCTCGTGATTCTTCCAGTCCGGCGGAAACGGTGATTTGGTGCGCGTTACTGATCTGTCCACTCAAATAATCTAATTATATCCGTTTTGCTCGCCCGAAATAATTGGTGGTACCGATCGCAAGTTCGCGAGCAAAGCAAGCAGCTCGTCCGCTTGTCCGGCTAACAATGGCTGCTGCTGCTGCCGCCGTCGCCTCCTCCTCGTCGCCACTCTCTCTCTTCTCCTGTTTCTCTTCCTCCTCTTCATCCTCAAAATCACCATCTCACTCTCCAAGATTAATAAGAGCTTTCGGCCCCAATTTCTCCACCTCCGTTCCTCCGAGATTACTCCTAAAGAGATCTGATAAGTCGATTGCATGCCCCTCCCGAATCTTTCTCCTCCTCCAGAGATTAACGCCGATCGCGGCGACCAGTGGGCTGTTCGAATCCGTCATCACCGTCCTCGCTTCCGTCGCCCTTTCCGCGTCGCTCCTCGTCTCCGACGTCGACCCAGCCTCCGCCTTCGTCGTCACCACCCCGAGGAGGCTCCAATCCGACGAGCTCGCCACCGTGCGGCTCTTCCAGGAGAACACCCCCTCCGTCGTCTACATCACCAACCTCGCCGCGCGGTTGCTCCCTCGATTCGATTTGGTTCGCGCGCGATAGTTCGGTCTTGTGAGCGATAAAAATCGGTGCTTTTGGATGTAGGCAAGATGCCTTCACGCTGGACGTGCTGGAGGTGCCGCAGGGCTCCGGCTCGGGCTTCGTCTGGGACAAGGACGGCCATATCGTGACCAACTACCATGTCATCCGCGGGGCATCCGACCTCAGGTTCATCTTCTTGGATCCTCCGTTACCGTTTCTACAACTAGTTGTTTCTGTTCGAAACTTGTTCAATTCATTAGTGTCAATAAGAGTACCTTGCCGTTGAACATGCTTTTAGTTTTGGTTCTTGTTTCGTCACCCACTGTTTGCTTGTTGTTTTAAGATGTTTGGATTGTCGTTCTCGCAATTGGAATGATGCTGGAATTTCTCGTTGCTTACAGGGTTACTTTGGCTGATCAGACCACATACGAAGCAAGAGTCGTCGGATTTGACCAAGACAAGGATGTTGCTGTCTTGCGCATTGATGCACCCAAGGAAAAGTTGCGACCCATACCGGTTGGCATCTCATCGGACCTGCTAGTGGGTCAAAAAGTTTATGCCATTGGCAATCCTGTGAGTAATCCAACAATCTGCAAGTTGTCTGTTTTAGATTTTCTTTGTTGCAGGCGACTCTTGTACCATAAACTTTCCTCTCACCCTTAAGCACAATCAGCAAATAGATATAGCAGGGCAAAGTTCTTTTAAGTGTTGCATTCCTGATAATACAGAGAAACCCACTCCAAAGAAACTTTTCTAGGATCACCCTCTCTAACTTTTCATGGAACATTGAGGCTAATTATGGTTGTTTTATTCCATGATCTCTGAAACCTCTACACCATTATCATGTTTTCTTAGAAAAAATGTACTTCGTGGTGGATCGATGAGCATAGGGCATTAAGTGTAAATTGAGCTGGTTTTGATATTAAAATTCAGGAAGATTTTGTTAAGTAGCTATTATAGGGGCTACTTTCTCTATCTTTAGGTGTGGATAACATATCCTTGGCATGTTTATTTCTTCTGTAACTAAAGAAAAGTAAGAAAATGGTGTCATTTTCTGATGCTGAAAATGAAACCTCAATAAATAATTTTCTTTTGGAAAATCTAATTATGAGGTTTTATGTTTATTTTCTAACTCAAGTTTCCATCAGCAAAATCTGGTATTTTTTTGCTCACTTAGTGATAATTCTACGAAACATGCCCTGTTGGTAAAGGATTTTACAAACTTTTCTGATTTACAATGATCACACCATTTAGTGTGCAGTTAGCAAATTATTTAAAGAAATTATTACAATTTCTTTTCTTTTGTGGATTCTGTTTGCAGTTTGGCCTGGATCACACGCTTACTACCGGTGTTATCAGGTTAACAATCTTTTCTGCTGTTTTTACTATCAGACACTTGATTGCTTGAAACATAGAACCAGGTATTGCAGTAAAATAGTGGCAGGCCATGACCTTGTCTAATTTCTGCTGATAATATACTAAACTGCAAGATTTATTGATATTTGAAATATGTAACATATTTATCTTCTTTCTTAATTTGTTATCATATGGATTCTGTCCGTGTTGCACTTCTGCAGTGGACTTCGGAGAGAAATAAGCTCTGCTGCCACCGGACGTCCTATACAGGATGTAATACAGACTGATGCAGCTATAAATCCTGGTAATAGTGGTGGTCCACTGCTTGATAGTTCCGGAAACTTGATAGGCATAAACACAGCGATATACTCCCCCTCTGGAGCATCCTCTGGTGTTGGATTTTCCATTCCAGTTGATACAGTGCGTTATTTTTATTTAGCTGACTCTAGTTATTAAATAGTTATTAAATATATATAGTAGAGCCATTGAGTTAGTGGCTTATCGAAACAAACTCTAATTGCAAAATTTTAGGTCAATGGTATCGTTGATCAGATTGTAAAATTTGGAAAAGTTACACGACCTATATTAGGAATCAAATTTGCACCAGATCAGTCAGTTGAACAGCTTGGAGTTAGTGGAGTGCTTGTCTTGGATGCTCCTGCAAATGGTCCAGCTGGAAAAGCGGTATTGTCATTGGCTTTCATTAAATTAATTTTGTTCTTAGCCTAAATGATTTGCTACCAATTTATAGATAACATATTAATCTTTTTTTTTATGTTTCTTCAAGTATCTCTTTCCAATCATTGGATACGTATCTTTTGTAATTCCATGATTTCTGCAAGAATTGTGATGGAATTTGATAATGCTGAATCTTAATATTTGGTTGTATGTCAGAAAGAAAAAAAAATCCCAAAACCATTAAAATGGTACTATTCGTGCTAGAGCTATCAGGCTAATTGTTCTTGAAATCTTACTGAAATTAGTTTCAACAAGCAGGAAGTCCACCAATTCGTTTACTTCACGCTTCAAAGGATTCACCACAATTTTTTATATTAGAAATGAGTGGAAACCTTCTGATGTATCTGTCAAGGTTTGCTATGTACACAATATGTTTAGGGCACTATCTTCTGTAGACACTTCTCATGTGTTCTTCCATGTAATAACAAAATACAACTTCTAATGTTATGTAGACTTCATGAACAAGATAAATATATAAAATAAATGATAGTTAAAGAGATCTCTCAGGAATAGCCGACATGCCAGCATACTATTAACAAAGAGGATGTCCGAAGGAAAATCAACCTCGAGGGTGAACTGCATGGTTAAGCTTGACTATGTGCCATCACTAATTACATAACGAAGCAAGTTATTTTTCGAAATTCAGCTGTCTGACCATTCGATTACCTGACTATGGTGTTCCTTAACAAGTAACATACTCACTGTATGGCTTCATGGGTCAAGAAATTTCATTCAGCAATCTTTGTCAAGAGTGTTTCATGTTCATGTATCTGTAGATGGAGTTGTGTGTTTAATTTTGTTTTTGGATTTTGAAAGATGGATCAAGCTTGCACAATACTTTGATATTCACAGGGCCTGCAACCAACCAAGCGGGATGCATATGGCCGGCTTATTTTGGGAGATATCATTACATCAGTGAATGGTAAAAAAGTCACAAATGGCAGTGATTTGTATCGAATCTTGGATCAATGCAAAGTTGGTGATACGGTAATTTCAGTTTCTTTCTTTCTTGATATGGAGAATTATTATTTTTGCTGAAAACATTATGCTTTATATCTGGAAACTTAAACTTGCAGATCTGCATGGTACTTAGTTTTAATTTGTCACACCATCCAGTGTACTTCTGTAAGCTGTGCTTTATTGAATTGGGAAAAGAATCATGAAACCGCAATTCCTAATAAAAAATGCATCGACTGGTGTTTCATTACTATATGTGAATATCCTTGTGGCTCTTGGGTACAGATGTATGTCATATCATGCTGCAATGAATCAATAAGCATGAGTTTTGAACAATTTTGTCATTATGAAAGTTCAGGTCACCCATGTGTGCATTCCTGTCAACAAAGCTGGTCCAACCAATTAAACAAAGTTGGTTATTCCGTCTCACTCAAAATGGTTGTTTTCCTGGAAAAGCAAGGCTGTCAGTTACCACCCAATACCGATATGACTGAGATCATTACACACATAAAAGAAAATTGTGAATAAAACTTGAGAAGGATTGCATGCTGCCTTGGATCTGCTGATGATGGTGTATCTGAATGAAAAAAAATGGATGGTGTTGCTGTTACTAAGGATAATTTTTATAATGTTAGCATACCATATCTCTTAACCATTTTCTTGTATTATAGCAATAAACTATTTTATTTCCCATTTATTTTTGCTTGTAGGGGCATCTTCTTCTCTTCAAGTTAGAGTAACACTGATCTCTAAAAAGTTTCTTCTGCATTAGCTGAGTACTAAACTTCTTGAGGTGCTGTCTAAGATTCTCACTAAACTAGTTGCTAAATGTTGAAATTATTACTTCTTTTAAGGATGAACTTTTAAATTATTACTGCTAGTGGAATTAAGATCAAATATAATTTTTTTTCTAGAAATTTGTTGAATGAAGCAACTTTGAGTCATTAGCCACATTTTTGCTGGAGTAACTTCATGTGCAACCTCTTTAAGTTTCCAATACCTTATAATAATTGTATAGTGAATAAGAACTTTTTTGTGGTGCAGTTGCATGTAGGTGTTATTTGTGCTTTAAACTAATTCTCTGTTGCCCTCCTCTACTTTAGGTGACTGTGGAAGTTCTGCGTGGTGATCACAAAGAGAAAATCTCTGTAGTGCTTGAGCCAAAGCCTGATGAGTCATAAGAATTAGCATAATGGCTACTCAGCATTTTTACAAATCCTAATTGGGACTTTCTGCTCCATGTTAGTTGTTTGTACTTGTACATAATGTGGCGTCAAAGGAGTTTCCGTTGTATCATGTACTTAGATTCATATTAAGGAAAGGCTTATCTGTACATTATGACTACTGGCAATTAACCATTAGCATTTATTTGCCAAGTGATAGCACTATAACAGAAATGCCAGTCCTTGTGCCGAATAGTTCAGTAGCTGATACATTCTGAAGGTAACATTTAACCATAGTAAATTAATTTTACATCAAGATGGCTCATCCAGTTCTTCTCAATATATATATATCAGTAGGCATTGGCTGTTGTTCTACTGAATTATCATCAAATGAAGAAAAGAAAGATACAAGAATGCCATATTGGTTAGATCTAGTTAAAGAAAAAAAAAAACTGACATTATGCTTTTTTGCTTGTAGGTTTTTCAACAGTCATGCAAAAGAAAGATGGAGGAAATGCTGTCCCATGCCTCATCACAAGATGGCTGCTGGAATTCCTTGTGAACAATACTAGTATCAGCAAGGATGATGATGAATTTTAATGTCTGCTATCTTAGTCTGGTAATTGTATACCTGTGGAGGTTTCTAGTATTTGGCTGGGCTCTCAAGGTAATAAGTTGTTTAAGGGGTCATCCCAAGCTTAGATTAAGTATATACATGAGAGGTAAAGCCAATCATGAATTTTCAATGTATGGATTGTACTCATGAAGCAAAAAAGATTACATGATGCATGTGACTTAAAGTGGTATTTCTCTTACAGCTCTACCTTTGTACTGAATGACTCACATCTTATAGGTGAATGCTAAAGGTCGGCATAATACTGTTGATGGCAACATTGTTGATTATATCTTTATTTATCCCTGTTTGTTCCATCAATCTTTAATTTACTTCACTTGATTTTTTTTCTATTAGCAAAAGAAATGCGATTGAGCGAGCCAATAAAAGGATGATTGTGAGACATGTTTCAAAAAATGTCTCTTTTTAATTTGGGTATTTGATATTAATATAAACGGATTAAGCAGATACAAATATTTAAGATTTTTTATCTTTAAAATATAATTATAAAAAGATGACGAGAACGCATACGAATTTTTCTATATTTGAAACCAAACCTAACTTTCTTTACACACGTGTTTGTATTTGAATTCGCTCGCATGCTGTCAACATACATATGTACGAACCGGTTGTGAATGGTTCAAATAGATCCGACCCGAAAATTTTGGACCCGCTCCATTTCGAAGCCCGAGCCAAAACCCCTAATCTGCCGGCCGCTGAGGCTCTCTTCCATTTGCTTTGCCTCGCTCCTCTGCTCCGACACGATCAGTACCCAAAGAAACTCTAACCTCGGAGATGAATGCAGAGACCTCCGATGCCCCGCCGACGAGCCTCGTCGACAGAACCGTCGTGAGTTCACCATTCCATCAATCTCCCATCTCCTTTACCTTTATCTTGCGAGTCCGTCGATCACTGAATTTTTCTCTTAGGTCCCCGGCGACACCGTTCTGGATCTCACGGCCATGGCGAACCAGACCATCAAATTGGGAGCAGGGCTACGCCAGGTGTTGTTATGCGTTGCAGAATTTTGTTCTTTCGAAGATTGTGGTTTCTGTTCTTGCTTCTCTTTTTCTCTTGTGAACCTGATTTGCTTATTTTCTTTGATTGGTCTGCAGGATTGCGATACGATATCGGTCATGAAGGCTGGGAAGCTGAGGTTATCGAAACCGAACAAGTACTGGGTCGAGAGCTCTCACAAAAGAGTGAGCGATCTTTTTCTCTTCTTCTTTTTGGTCTTCGTTGTCTATCACTGGCAGCAAAAGTGCAGTATGCTTTGAGAGTACTATCTGGTGAGGTTGGATACTTGTCTGTCACCAAAAAAAAAAGTTGAACCATCGCTCTGATGCACCTTTTGTTTGGTGATTGTGCTGGAGAATCTTTGTGTATTTATGATTAGGAGCTATTTTTTCCTCGATAAGATAATCTTTATGCAGTATATGAGTTCATATCATGTCTCAATCATTCTTTTTCGGTTATTCCTAATGGTACTTTATATATTGCAGTATGCGCCGTGTGTGGAAGATACAGTTCTTGGCATTGTGGTCGATTGTAAACCAGATGTAAGTGTCTTGACAACGTCAGGCCTTTTACATATTCACACATTCGTGTTGTGTTACATTTAAGAGCAAATGTCTGTCCGCATAATCTTTCCATTTGCATACACTGGGATCATGCATAGAATGGAGAAACAAAGATGAAAAATAAGCGGAGGACTTGTCTTTTTTTTTTTTTTTCCTCTGTTTATGGTCGTACCCTTCTAGACCTATCATTAAAAATGTCATACTAAAATCCTTCATATTGTCCTGATTTCTTGTGTGTTCTTAACTAAGTAGAATGTAATTAATCCTCTTGAGCTTGGCATGTAAATCTTGTCTAAACTTAGCGCGAAGATATCTGTCATATGTAGCCTTGTTTGTTTGAGTCATTCATAGCCAGGTCCCTTTTATGTAATAGCCATCAATTTTATATGATAGTTGGACCCTTGGTGAATAAGTTCTCATTTATATGTTCTCTTGCTACATCCTTTAATATCTCGTTATTTTACATTGATGCTACTTAGGTTGCCATGTTCATGGTTAAGCTTCTCATGGTTTATAAAGTTGATTAATATGTGGGCAACAACAAAAATTTCTCTTAGGATCTAGGAATTGTGGACTAATGATTAGTGCATATGTCAGATAAGAAATACAACAAAAACAAGTAAATGAGCAATAGTACATGGATTAATAGATTATGAGGCAGATATAGTTTTACAATGATGAAATACATGGGTTAAATTAATGTGACAAATGGAAAAGGTTTTGAGTTAAAGAATCTAATCTGAAGCTTCTAGCATGCAAGGATATTTCTTTTCTTAGTTTCTATTGGTTCATAGAGAGGTAATAGGTGGTTCCACTTTGTATCAGCCATTGAGTAACTACCTCAATGTGATCTCATTTTTTTAATCTATAATTTTGCTAAACAAGACCGAACGTGTATATTAGCTATAACAAAAGATGAATTGTAAGGATAGTTAAAATGGAATGCCAAGAATTTACTAGAAGTAGACGTTTAAGGTGTTTTATATTTTATAATTGATTGATGAAGTTACTATTCCTAGTGTTAAAGCAGGGTGGTTAATGGGGAGATCGATATTAGTTCTATGTGATTGGTATTATTCCTAGTGTTAAAGCAGGATGGTTAAAAGAAAATTTTTGTATGATAGTTGTAAGTTGTGCGATGCTTTGTCAACCAGAATATTTTACTTTTAGGAAATAACGGATACAAAATGTTAGTGTTGCTAAGATGAATGTGTGAGGATACTAGAAAGATCAAGAAATTTTAACACTTGTTAACGTAGGAAAATATCCTAGGAAGTTCTGTAGATGTTCTGACTAAACTAGGAGGTTGATTGAAATTAGTGGTATAAGATGAGGTAGAGACCCAAGAAAACTTTATTAGAAGTAATGAAAGAGATTGACTAATCTTTGATTGACTAGTAATGTTGTCATAAAACAAAAAAAAAGAGATTGACGTTATGGCTTGTTGTTTGAAGTCGTCCATTTGGTTTTGCAGAATTATATTTGTGTTCGATTAAGAAGTAGTTTTGTTCTTTATGAGTATGTTACTGTTCTTTGTTTTTTCTCAGAACTTTCTGGTTGACATAAAAGCTCCTACGTTGGCATTTTTACCTGTGCTTGCATTTGAAGGTGGAACTCGGAGAAACATACCAAAGTTTGAGGTATTAGTTTACTTGGTGATTTTACCACCATTTTCCTTCAGATCTTCCTTTAATTCTGTCTGTCACTTTAATGGCAAAATTTATTATTATTATTATTTATTGTGATATAGTGGATAGTATTCAGTTTTATCATTTAACCATTATGCAACATGCTTTGTTTTTTTCTGGTCTAGGTTAAGATTACTTGCCATTTTTTCTTTAACGGCAAAAAGAATGCAATATGTCTTATTCTTTCAATCATCATTTTTCTGCTTTGTAATAATATCACCTTTCTCATTTCCTATAAGTTTTATTGTCAGTATTAGGTAGCTGACCAGTCTACATGATTGTTTGTTTTATTTATTCTTAATTCTTGTGTCGAACATGTTCTCTGCTTAATTAAAATATATATTGAAAAATGCATGATTTAAGATTAGAAGGCTTAGAAAGTTTAAGACTAGAAGTGTGTGCATCATCTCATGCATCTTGAATTTGTGAAACGGTGCTGATTTGTCCACTTGTAATTTCAGTGTAGCCTGTGCTTTACGTCCAATAGAGGATCCTAAAAGCAATCTTGGATGACTTGACTGATGTTGTGCATTGTTTTTCCATGTTGCTTGTCCTATAATTTTATGCTACCTATGAGTTATGATATATATCTGTTGCTTATCTGTACTCATCGGTGAACATCTGCTGCAGATAGGTACTTTGCTATATGTCCGGGTGGTCAAAGCTAATAACAGCATGAATCCTGAACTTTCTTGCGTGGATGGTACTATGTTCTTGCTGAACCTATCTGCTGCTTGCTTTCCTTTTGTTACTCAACAAAAGAGTTCTTATGATGCTTTTATTTAGTCCCAAACCAAAAGTTGGAAGATGCATGTGATTGTTTATAGCAACTATATGAACTTGGTACCATTAACTCAACTTAAGGATTTTGAATCATGTGGTTTCAGACATCATTAATGTGTTTGTTTATTCATCATTTGGGTCGTGACAATTTCTTAGTGATGCAGAATGAGAACTACATCTTACTGCTTGGTGGTTTCTGGTTTTGGCATGCTTATATGCTGACTGAATTGTCTGTTTTCCTTATATAGAGACTGGAAAAGCTTCAGAGTTTGGTCAGTTGAAGGATGGTTACATGTTTGAAACATCAACTGGCTTATCACGGATGTGAGAAGATGTCAACTTAGCTATTGGTTTAAGCAATTCGATTCGAACTGACAAGTGTTTATCAGATTTTTTTTTCTTTTTATTTCTTACCTTCTCTTCTTCAGGCTACTAAGCTCTCCGACATGCCCTGTTCTTGAGGCTCTTGGAAAGACATTGTCGTATGAAATAGCCGTTGGTTTAAATGGCCGAGTCTGGGTATC